TCCTCCTTTATCCGGGCTTGGGACCGGCAGTATCCCCCGGAGGGACTCCAGGCGGAGTTTTCTCTGAGTACATCCGCTATATCCACCAACCTGGTTAGAGCGCCATTCATTCGCCTTACGTCGTCTCAACTTCGTAAACAACACCCGTGATGCCAGAGGGCAATGAGTAGGACTTCCCTGGAAGTGGCTGTATAAGCGTGGCCATGTGGAAGCATTTAGAGAGGGAGAGCTAACTCTCCCCACCCTCAGACGTACGAGGGCAATGGGGGGCCAATATCAAGGCAGTTTGTACAGTGTGTCCAAATGCTAACAAGAGACTAACCAGTCGCAGTCAATGGGAAGATTTAAACAAACTATACAAAAATGAATTATAACTTCACCCCATCGCACAAACTGAGGAGAACGGTACTGGGTTCGAGTCCGGCAGTCATCATCAACTCTAGGACTCAGGTACATCCAGCTGACGAATCTCAAATAGGATGAAACGTGAGTTCTGGATTCAACTGTCAGCCATTTTCGATCTCTGCTTATTTACAGAGAGATTCTGTCAACAATTCAAATTCAACTATTCACACCCTGAAAAATCTTTTTTTCTCACCAATGCTTATACCTATTTATGACATTTTATTACCGAAATTACTATGCATAAAACAACTGGAAATGAAACTTAGATTCATGATAAGATAAGTTGATACCCTTCTTTTATTTTATTCACAATATGCAATGAAAAAATTGATTGTAGTATACAGATAGTTTGTTAAATAAGCATTTTAAGTTAGATTGTTTCATTAAAATTGTAAATGTTACCCATTACAATTTGATTTGGTTGATTTTTGAAATTAGTACATTAAACAATTTAGTAATATAGTAAATTTTCTATTCTAATTCTTTATTCCTATTGTAAAATGTAATTAAAATACAATGACACATATGAAATATTATTGAAAACAAAATCTAGGAAAGTTTTCTAGGGAATTCAATTCAATTTTCATAGTATAAATGATTCATTTCCGTATTAGTATACACCATTATGTATAATGACTTCATTTTATATTTAATTTTAATGTATTAGGAATGGATATTCTATTTTTAATCTCTAAAGTTAGATTAGCGTTGAATATTTATAACATATATCATTTGTGTTAATTATTGGATTTAGTGACAAATTATTCAGATTACATTAATGATGTTACCGAAAATCTAATTACATACATTCATACATACATACATACTTACTTAATTACTTACTTACTTACTTACTTACTTACTTACTTACTTACTTACTTACTTACTTACTTACTTACTTACTTACTTACTTACTTACTTACTTACTTACTTACTTACTTACTTACTTACTTACTTACTTACTTACTTACTTACTTACTTACTTACTTACTTACTTACTTACTTACTTACTTACTTACTTACTTACTTACTTACTTACTTACTTACTTACTTACTTACTTACTTACTTACTTACTTACTTACTTACTTACTTACTTACTTACTTACTTACTTACTTACTTACTTACTTACTTACTTACTTACTTACTTACTTACTTACTTACTTACTTACTTACTTACTTACTTACTTACTTACTTACTTACTTACTTACTTACTTACTTACTTACTTACTTACTTACTTACTTACTTACTTACTTACTTACTTACTTACTTACTTACTTACTTACTTACTTACTTACTTACTTACTTACTTACTTACTTACTTACTTACTTACTTACTTACTTACTTACTTACTTACTTACTTACTTACTTACTTACTTACTTACTTACTTACTTACTTACTTACTTACTTACTTACTTACTTACTTACTTACTTACTTACTTACTTACTTACTTACTTACTTACTTACTTACTTACTTACTTACTTACTTACTTACTTACTTACTTACTTACTTACTTACTTACTTTATCCTACCCATCATGTCTGCAGCTTATTTTTATCTGACTATAAACATCAAGTCACTCTTTATTAAAACAAGTCGGCTTACTCTCCTTCTCCGCTCCGTTTCCTATTCTAGAAGTCTGTTTAGACAAAAGAACACTTGAAATTAATCCCACCGTCTCATCTCGTATTCGGCTTCTTATTATCGCCGTCACATAAACGGGGTTAGTTTAGGTAATTTATGGAGTTAAATGGAAGATTTATGTCCGTAGCATATTCGTATGATCTTATTGGAGTCAGATCACGGCACCGCAAAAGTGGTGAGCCCGACATAGTACTAGCAACTACAGTATACAGTGAAAACAATTTTGCGGAATGTAATTTTTCATTTTATCCCGTCATATCAGAAACGCACTATTTAAAACCTTCAATTGATTTTATTCATGATTTGACTGCCTTTGAATGTCGATTGGAAAAATAAGTTTTCTTTTAGGTTTGGGAACTATCATACTGCCGGGTTCAGCTGCACATTTCTTCATAAGTGTCCAAGGGTTCCCATTATCTTAAAGACAAATGTCTTTCATTGTACACTCTTCCCCTAACTTTTCTAGTGAGTATAAATTCCTGACTTGTTAGTAGAATGATCCGAACAACCCAAATTCATAACTCATTAGGTAAACGTATGACAGGTCTGTTTCTGAAGTATGTACTTTTGACAAGTTACGTCGATACTCCGAAACTCATAGAAATCTAGAAAATGGAACTTCTCTTTCATTGTGGTTCAATCGTGAATTTGATAATAGAATCAAAGCTTTTGAGAATCATATTTGGATTATTACTTACTTACGCTTGTTACTCACAATGGAGCATAGGCAGCCAACCAGCATTCTCCAACACACTCTGTCATGGGCCTTCCTTTCCAGTTACATCAAATCCTTGTTCATTCTTCTCATATCTATCTCCATTTCTCGGAGTAATGTGTTCTTTGGTATTCCTCTTCTCCTGCTTTGGCCTTCAAGATTCCATGTGAGGGCTTGCCATGTGACGCTGTTCGGTGCTTTCCTCAATGTGTGTCCTATCCACTTCCAGCGCTTCTTCCTGATTTCTTCCTCCACTGGGATCTGGTTTGCTCTCTTTCACAGCAAGTTGTTGCTGATAGTGTCTGGTCCAACGGATCTGAAGTATTTTGCGTAGACAACTGTTAATAAACACTCGTATCTTCCTTGAAGATGGCTTTCGTAGTAGAACTGCCTTGACATTTGTATTGAAAATCCTGACCTTGGTGTTGGTTGACAGTTGCTTTGAGTTCCAGATGTTCCTCAGTTGTAAATATGCTGCTCTTGCTTTGCCGATCCGCGCCTTCACATCTGCATCAGATCCACCCTGTTCATCAATGATGCTGCCCAAATACGTAAAGGTTTTTACATCTTCCAAATCTTCTCCGTCAATTGTGATTGGATTGGTGCATTGACTTTCCTTTCGCCACACTGGTCGTCTTCTGCATCTGTTGTTGCGTTTGGGATAGAAGGGCCAGATCATCTGCGAAGTCTAGATCATCCAACTGCATCCTAGATGTCCATTGTATTCCGTGCTTCCCTTCAGATGTTGACGTCTTCATGATCCAGTCGATCGCCAGGAGAACGAGGAAGGGTGAGAGTAAGCAACCTTGCCTGTCACCGGTCTTCACTTCAAACTACTTTGTCAACTGTCCTCCATGCACGATTTTGCAGTGTAATCCATCATACGAGTTCCGTATGATATTGACTATCTTCTGAGGCACGCCGTAGTGTCCAACCTTGCGTCCCAAGCACCTCCAGGTTGTATCTCCTCATTTCCGCAACAATTGGGAAGACTCTCCCGGTCTCCAACATTTTACGAGTATTCCACGTACCTAAATAAACGGTTACTCTTGTTGTCAGAAGGGGCATCGGCCTCGTGACTTCTAAATGAAGACCTGAGTTCCAGGGCAGTGTTTAAAAGGTTTTAATAATTTTTTCTGGTTAGTGTTTTTTAGCGAGTTAGTTTTCTACGGGTTGGGGTTGCTAACCCTTTGCCCAACCCTCCTCCTTTATCCGAGCTTGGGAGTTATATTTGGATTACTCATATCATTAAATAAAACAAAAGAACAGTAGCATTGCAATCTTCTTTGTATATACCCAACTCTAGGAAATGGACCAGCTAGACTTGTAAACACTATTTCATGTTAAATACGACACGTGTTATTTACAATATTCTCATTTCACTGCTTCAGATCACTCGATGTTTGATCATTAGGTATCCAGTCAATGATATTTTGTCACTTCAGTATGTTTTTATTAATCTTGATATAAATGTGTCTGAAGGTTTTATTCACTTTTATACTATTCAGTTCTGATAAGATAACGCATGCGAAACCACGAAAAATCGAAACAAATGGTAATCTTTCGTTAGAGTTTTGTACACTCAGTTAGATAGTTTAGTTACGTGAGCATAAAAATAATACGATTCATTTAAAATTCTCTTCCTTATTGATCCGGCGGCCTGCTTGAATATCTGGGCTACCTGTTCCTTCGATCTATATATTTCTTCAAGTTATCTGTTTTGTTGTTCGTTTTAGCATATCAATATGTCTATTGTGCTCACAATCTATTCGGGCGCGTTTATGAAAAGTTTACAACCTTTCGCTATACGGGATACAGAAAGGTACAATCAGCGACATCATGGTGGCTGGCAATATGCATTGAAACGAATGAACATTAATCAAATGCGGATTATCGAATTCCTAACATCTAACTGGTCATCATTCGAAATTTATCGTCACAATCGATCAAGATATAAGAAAAAGAAACTTGTTGAAATACTTTATGCTGAGAATTCTATGTTGTACCAAAAGTATAATGTTGAATAAAGCTTCTTATAATAATAATAATAATGATATATTCTGAACGATCTTAAAAGTGTTACTCTTACTGAAAGTTTTTCGATTTTTACTTATTTTGTAATACAATAAAAAGTAAGGGAATTTCAACAAAATTATATATTTTCGGAATATTAATCTATCAAACGGCATATTAAACTTAAGTTCGCTATTGCTTTTAAGGTCAGTGGAAACAAATGTTTATTCAGATACATATATTGTTTACCCCATATAACATGTACCCATTTCAGAGGGAGATAATTCATGACATGTTATACGTACTTTACATCCAGCGATATTCACGTCAAATACAGATGTAGGATGTAATGTAAAAGCAACCGTATAAACAGCAATATCGAATTCTGGAGATGATCCAACAAAAACACTTCCAATTGGCTTTTTATATTTATTTTCATTGACATATGTTACAGTGATAAGTTGATCTTTACAAAACTGTAGTAAAAATTGAATACAAAACATTAGCTATATCGTTAAAAATTACGCAATTAAAAACATATAAATTACATGAATGTTTTGCATTTAGAGCAATATTTTTTCCAGTAGTCAAATATAACTTGAGTTTGTAAGTTTTGTACACTAAACCAATTACTCTGGAAGAGATGGATACTTCCACGTATTTGGATAGTATCATCGATGAACAAGGAGGATCCGATACAGATGTGAAGGTGAGGATTGACGAAGCAAGAACAACATTTATACGGTGGAACAATATATGGAACTCAAAATAACTGTCAACCAATATCAATGTCACAATCTTCAATACGAATGTCAACACAGTTTAACCGTGTGGAGCGAAGACTTCGAGAACTATAATGATCATTATCACAAAGGTACAAGTATTTCCAAACAATTGTTTACGTAAGATACTTAATGTTTGGTGGTCGGATACCATCGCCAACAGCCTACTGTGGGAGAGAACAAACCAGGTTCCAACTGAAGAGGAACTTAGGAAAAGACGTTTGAAGACATACATTACGGAAATCAACAAACTGCATCACGAAGCAAGCACAAACTTGGAATGGTGAAGGGAAATGGAAAAGAGGAGGACTAAATAACACACTGCGTCAAGAATTGGAAGCGTGAATGAAAAGAATAAATAGCAACTGAGAACATGTGTAAAGCATTGTACAGGTGATATAATGTAGTGGATTAATATTGAAACACATGCGAACGTTTTTAAAAAATCATTATTACTGTGATAACTTACCAAATAATTTCAATTTTCACTGTTTTATAGCTTAAATAACACAGCAATCAACTGTCTAAGACATTTTATGACCTTGTTAATACCAGCTTAGTAAATAATAAGTATTCCAAGTTTATTATGAATTGATAACTGCTTTCTTAAAGTTTCTATTAAAGAGGTATTTTGTACGGTTCATAATATTATCCTCAACTAGTCAACTATAAACACCATTGAATATCAGTGAAATCTTATAAAATTCACTTTCTTCTTTTCTCATGTTTCACAATACATAATCTTCGATATTGTATGGTGCTATAAGTACCATTTATATGTAAGATTATTAATAAATACATCCTACATAAAGGTTGAATGGGCGGTAAGAGTAGAGGATATTCGTAGGTTACTAGGATTTGATCATAGGTGTCTTCGAAATATTGCTCGTATATCCTGAGACCATCGAGTAAGTAACACAGTTGTTAGGAAACGGGTACTAGGTAAGGATGGCAAATCAGTTGATGAATTGGTGAAACTTCATCAGTTGAGATGGCTGGGACACGTGTTACGTATGCCCAACGACCGACTGCCTCGACGTGCGATGTTTTATGGTGTAGGAGTAGGTTGGAAGAAACTACGGACGGCCAGAACAAAACATGGCACAAATCCATGAAGTCACTGATAAGTGGACTGAGCCATGTTGATAGGTGTAGACTACTTTGTTGGGATCCGCGAGATGATAGCAACCGATGGTTAGAGACCTTGAATGACATGGCTCAAAAGCGTTTGCAATGGCGCAGGCACATCCACCCTTTGTGTTCTCCCAAATTCTAATCTTCTGTATTATTTATGTCCCTTTTCTTTTTCTCTTTCCAAATTTATTTCACTGGATTATACTCCTTGAATAACATCTTCAAACTCTAATGTTTCCGATTACTGCTTATACTCTTATTACCTCTACCACTACGGGATTTGAATCGACAACTGTATCTCTGTGCTAATGTGGTTTGGCAACTCGAACTGATGTACGTACGTACGAAGTTCTACGTTGTTGCTGACTGACTGACTGACTGAAATAAAGGTTGAGATATGCGCAAGTAGATGACTATTATGTATACATACATGTATTAGAGCAGCCTTATTGATCTAACAGTAAATACCAGTGGTATACTCCTGCAAATGCAATCATAGTTACATAATACTATACCATTCGGATGATATCAATTCTTTATTAAATCATCATTAGCATAGTAAAATTACTAACTTTATTATCAAACATTGAAAAAAAGAAAATTTCTTACTCTTCTAGTCCATCCAAAAAAGTTTAATTGATTTTTCTTTTCTTTTAAATAAAATTGAATCCAATTATGTAATCCAATTACATCAAGATTTTTATGTTCACCAACGAATACATGTTCAAATGCAGAAGAGTCTTTTGACTTCATTATTTGATTGATTTATATTTTATATATTTTGTATAGAATGTAAAAGGGAAACTATAAATCACCATAATTAATTATTCATCTCAACTTGTTATCGTAGGTTGATATTAATTGAGTTATAGGGGAATAACTGCATTCACAGTTAAGTACTTTGAACATACTGAAGAATTTTACCTCACATTGGTTTACTTTTGATATATTCTAAAGGATCTAACAGTTGATATGTTGTACTTATATTTTATCAATATGTTTATGATTATTAATCAACCTTAAATAGTTAAGTGAAGGATCGTGCAGTTTCTCTTCTTAATTTTAACACAAGCTCAGTATTGTAGTGAATGAGAACACAGGCTGGGACAACCAAATCTATTTTATACACAATTACAAAATGTCTTAATAGAATCTGAGAACTACATAGTAAATACTTTGTTTGCAAAATGTCAATCAATAGTCTCAGACTTGATTGTTTTTTTGTTTCCACACCATTTATTCTATCTTCTCGTTCTCTTCTCTTCGCTCTTTTTAACCTTCTGTCACCAAGCATTTCCCATCCGACTGTGATACATACTACTTATATGTGGCCATGCTAGTAGAACACACCACAGTTCAATTCAGAATTAAAATGTTTAGATTATATTGTACAGGCTATGCTTTGGCTTCAAGTGAAATAAAAAATTTGATAACTATTTCTCAATGAATCCACATGCATATAAACCGCCAATTTACTTCGAACTAAGTTATCCAATTTCTTAGGAGTGTAGGGTCAGTGAAATGTCACTGAGCCATAGCCAAATCATCCGGCATTTGGACCACTGAATGTCGAACAGATCATCGCTCCCTGCCAAGGTCATGAACAACCAACGCGATTAGTTAATCGTATGCCATGGACTGGCCCATGTGGCAGTGGTCTTACTTTCGATTGTATCTACTTTTACTAATATATTTCTGTAATAACGTCCTTTGTGTTGTAAAGTCTTCAAAGCATCTATAGTACCTTGATACGTCAATGGGGTAGTCCACGTAAGGTGCTGACCACGAGGTGTGACTTCGACGTTAGTTGGTTCGTCATACCATTCACGTCTAACTCGAGTAGGCCTCGACATAGATCATCTACGTTGGTGATCTACAGGAGCTTCGTGTCTGAAAAAGTTTGGACAGACTGTTGTTTTAGATTATAGAATATCTTATCGAAACGAAGAGAATATATTATTATGATAAGCTTTAAATGGTGCGTTAAGATAATTTCTCCTACATAAAAACTAGCTGAAGAGTATTAGATCATGAAATAAACAACTCTGTAGAATATGGAAAATCTATAAAACTAATATCATCAGAAGGGGTTTTGTGGAGATTTTATCGGCAAAACAGCGTGCAAATAGTAAATGGACCTAAGTGAAATTCAATCACCAATGGTTTGAAGCGTGAATTAGTTACTGATAACAATGTATCTGATAATTAACAATTTCATTAAAAGCTTTCAGTGAAATACTCAATTTGGTAACTATTCATAGTTGCATTTCGTGAACAGATTGAATCTTAAACATAAAAGTCTACTAATATTATATTCTCTTTTTTATTTTTTGGGAAATAAGAGGATTTTACTTAGTATAACAACTCGGAAGACTCATTTTTGAGACCACATTTTACTAAGCTACAACATGTCACATCATATGATCAATCTATCAATATTCTATCGGTCAATATAACAATCGTAGTCAAATCATACTAAACTCACCTTCTACGTTTATATCGCTTGAACCACAAATCCTTCAAGAGTTTTCCAAAGTTTGTAATATCTCCTGACAACTTTTGTTTTTCGATAAGGAAATTATAAGTCATTTTCATGACTTTTGTTTTTAGCAATTCATTGATAAAGTCATCTTCCTCCTTCTGTTGTTGTTCTGTGACGATTTCAGTGACACCAACTTGAGGATTGTAGTTATCCAATAATGCAATGAATTCTATAGTATATACATAATTTCAAGTTTAATTTTTTTAGTCATTTTACATCACTAACCTGTTTAAATACTCGTATGACTGATTGAGAAATAATAGAGAATTTAAAAAATCTCAAGATGTAAAGATTATGATCGTAAACGTTTCTAGTTTTTTCAGTCTTGGATACCTTAATTTCAGCAGATTATTAGTTATTATTCAAGCATTCCAACAAAAGTTCAGTAAATTTAAATCATGCAAAAGAAAATGTTCGTTTAGGTGTTCTTCATATCGATTGACTTTTGTCTGTTATTGTTAGTGATGGTATACAACTATTGAAAATTAGTCATGAACTGAAGTTAATTTGTCCTTTCAATTAAAACTTCTAATATTCTGTTTTGTTGTAAAATTTCATTATTTATAGTTCTTGGAAATGTCCATAATTCTTGTAAACGTTATGGTATGTTTTTCGAAGCTCATATAGTAGTCAGCCAAATATTGATCATACAAGTTTATGTGTAGGAAATGAAACTGATTATGTATTTGAAATGATTTGATCAGAAAGTTGTATTATTCACTTTACTGGTTTAATCATAATGTCTACAGCTCATTCTGTTAATTTTCTAAACAAAGTTATCAGTCTTAAACTGATGAATTCAAACAAGTACTTTCCCTCAGTCAGTTAATTACGTAATTTAATATTCGTTATAAATTTGCCTCAGACCAAAATAAGTTTATTAGTCCTCACTGAATATTTCATAAACTTGGTAACAGAATTGTTTTCCCACGAATCTCAGTCAACGGTAAATAGATCTATGAGTAAATTAATGGCCTGTTCTTCATTTTAAAGAAGAAATTTTCAGCGCATAGCTTTTTGTCTAAGCTGTCAACTAATATTATGATTACAAATTTACTGCATAAAGTCTCAGTTGAATTTCATTTTCACTAACAAAAACCCATGATCTCCGTCTAGGTCAATTCTCCCAGACTATCCACTATTCATACTTAACAATTAGAAATGATAATCATCCAATCATCAGGCCTTGCTTCTGACTCGATTAACTCATGATTTAAATAAACGTTACCTTATATAGTGAAATATATGGTTATGTTCGCCATTCACTACTTTTTATGTAAATCTGACATAAAGAATATTTGTGTAAATTATCATTGTTGGAGTGATCCAGAAAATTGCTTGCAAAAGACAAGCAAGCATCAGGAAACACTAAGTAGCGTTTCATCCAATCAGCGTTCACTTGAAGTTTTAGCCAAAAATATCAAAGAAGTGAAACGTCACATGCTGAAGTTCTGATTGGCTGATTGCTACACTGATACTATGTTTAGTAGCATCCCAGAATCTTCGAGCAACCCAAGGACATTTAAAATATAAAAACCCTGTATTTTCTGTATTGAAATGAACCTTGGAGTAAAGTACTTCTCGCATACTCTGCATCTTCTCTCTCGTGTTCAGGTCGCTGTCTAATTCTAGCTTGGGGGTTACAGAATGTCTTAGGAGACGAATATAGCGTTCAATCCGCAAGACTTGTCAATTATTAAGTTGTCAATGAAAAAAATCTACACCTTTCAAATATCATTCTTTGTTACATACTTGCAAAAGTAGGTCTCTTCCCCAATATCTCTTCATTAACAAATTCAAACAATGGTTTAGATGCCAAATCTACAGAATCCATTCCTCTAGCTAGTTTTCCTATAAAAAGAGAAAAAAGTGGAAATAACTTAATATTTCTTTCTTTTTACAAATATTACTAGATGTATAAATCTGAATTATTCACTCAACCAAACTAGAGATTATTTAATATTCATAGTTTTGTCAAAAAAATCTACAAATTTAATATATTAATAGTTGATTTCATGATTCAATTGATGTTAGACCACACTGGAAAACCTGGAAGCACTGGACGACTGTTTCATCCTAGTATGGGACTCCTCAGCAGCATGCATCCACGATCCCGCTTGGCAAAATTCAGAGGTTTTCAACTTATTATTATAAATTGATTAATATTATCAGTAGCATATATTATATTGTTCTACTAGAAAGTATATCATTTACTATAGGTGATTATAAGTGTAATACATCAACTATGATTGGTATTTATTTCTTCCATTTACATCGGATTATTAAATATAATACCAGCTATCCATTTCATATTGGTTGACTTTGTGAGAAGACAAATAAGTCAGAATGTGGCAATTACCAACCGAATACATCGTATGAGAGCCACGATACATCAGACTGTCATTTGCTATAAACTATCGTTTATTACATTCCAACCAATAAGGAAATCATATCTTGTCTCCATAGATCTGAATGTTTTATGATCAACTATTTATATATAATTATAAGTAAAATACCTATCTAATGATTTCCAATTCTCAATACGCGAACCGTTTTTGTTTTTCAACTGATACACTTGAAAATATAACTGATTTATGGTTCTCAACACGCTGAGAGTAAAAACCATCCCATATATGCTAGCTGTTATCCAAGTATATTATCAGATTATCTGAAATATACTGGGAGATATCTGAAGCATGTAATAAAAATAATGCCATAGAAAGTTATTTCACCCAAATACTTTTCATAATCTTATTTGAATGATTTTTCAAAACATAAAAGTGATCATATAAATAAAGGATCATTTTCTCATCAATAGAACATTGAATGAAAGTTTGCATATATGAATTAGTATTTTGTCCTGTACTACTTCTTATTAGCAAAGTGATTAACGGTAAGCATTATGATATTTGAACAAACTTACCTTGTAAATTCAATCGATAATCTTTACCATTTTCAACTGAATTTACATCCGCGTTGTACAAATCAGTGAAAAATCTACTCAATTGTTTATCCTCTTTAACAGAATAACTAAGGTTGAATAAATGAAACATTCGAGAAAAATAGAGATAAAGTAAATAAGTTGAAAATAAATGAGAATAATAATAGTTAAGAAACTTTTCTAGAATTTTGTGAATTATAATTTAATAGTTAAGATCATGAGACAATTGAAGCTAGATCACTATGGAAAACCTGGAAGCACTGAACAGCC